CAAAATCAATTCTTGAAGAGCGGGTCTTGAAGAATAGTTGCGTGGCTGCTCAATTTCTGGTTGATTCAAAGCAGAATGAAAATACGGTTAAGTTTATTTGTGTTTTGAACTATTTGATTTAGAAATCTGCGAGGAAAGTGCCAAAAAGGAAAAACGGCCGAAAAGCGGCACCAATGTAGTTGATCTGGCATAGCCATACTGATCAGACTGAAGCAGAGTTAAAAGCGTATTTTCTCAAAAAGGGACCGGATGAAAACAGCGTTTCTTGGTACCTTTTTCAAGTATTATGCGTAGATTCTACAAAACACAAAGGGCAAAGTTTCTTTTCTTGTTTCTTCAGGGCCTTTAAAGTGCCCCTCATAAGCTGTGATGAGCCGGAATACAGGAAAGAGATCTAAAACTCGCCTCTCAAAGGATTTTTGAAGTCAAAGACACCTAATTAACTATTTCGCTTTTTCTGGCTGAAGAACATGACAAAGGACAAGGATGCAGAGAATGTGAAGGCAAAAGGAAAAGACTATACGAAGATGAAATAATCGAGTGGATATTTGATGATTTATGCTTCACCAAGGCCTTAATGTTCATTTAATCTAGTATTAAAATTTGTCTAGATTCCACAAGTCGTTTTCTTAGTTCCACAAGGTGAAGCACGAAGCACTTCACCGTTTTTTCTTTATTTTAAAGACTTACTCAAATTATTCTAAGGCACTCCCTACCATAGTTGTCGTAGCTCGAGCAAGACTAAATTTACAAAAGAAATTGACAAAAAGGATTTTGGTGCAATCTGGCTTCTTCGAGGTTCTTAATTTTTCAAAGCCGACAAAGCTGTTTTTGCTTTAATCTAAATCTATGATCTCACTCAAGAAGCTCTATAAATGATTTTAGATTTTTTAAAAGATTACAGATGTTTTTATATTTTCTCGATATCACAATAATATCTCAAATGATATTATTGTGATATCTCTCGAAATAAATATTATTGTTAAGTACTGCTGCGGTAGCTTGCGCTGGTGAATTATTAAGCAAAGTTTTTGAGCCGGTTCACCCGTCGAACTCCCAACTATGATTTCTTATTTAGAAGCCATGTGCTATAATTGGTTTGTTTTATAATTTTGTTTTTGTAATAGTTCCGGTAGTTTACCCCAGCGGCCCGCGCAAAAGTAGAAAAACGCTACTTTTGCGTTCAAAAGGCATCAACTTTTCACATATTGACCCAATTGATCTCGTTTTAATGTCAAAATGTGCACAAGACCCTTGAGCATAAAGTTTGGTATATGACGCTCACCAAAATTTTCTTTTCTCCGAGAAAGTGAGGCAATTAAAGTGAGGTAATTCTGTCGTTTATATAAAAAAATAGTGATTTTTTTCGATTTTTTTTGACTAAAAAAATCTGTCAGACGCATGGAAAAGTTCTTTCAAATTTGAATTTAAAACATTTTTTCGCATCGAATAGCACTTATCTTAAGCAAATTTAACGGCGATCGCATTTTTCGCCTTATTTTGCGCGGACGTGCGGTCGCACAGCTGCCACTTTAGCAACTGGTACTACAAATACAGCACAACCCCTCAACTGGATTTTCATTCGGTGGATCAATAGTTGATGCGTTTAAAATTTAGCTTACTGTGTATTTAGACTGGAACATCCGCCTTTGGACAAGCACCGTCAGCAAACCTGTTTGGGGACAAACGGCGGCGGCAAACACTTGAAATTCGCTTTTTGCAAAGCAACCGGAGGAAATTTTGTTTTTGGCGGAGAAAGACAACAAATGCTTTTGGTAAAGATTGAAATTTTATTTTAATTTAATGGTTATAAAATTTAGGTTCCCAACCTTCCGCCACTTGAGAACTTTTTGGAGCAAAGCTCTTTTATTTGGTCTAAGGTCTTTATTTGGATCTACGACAGCTTCCGGTACTTCTTTATTCTTTTTTCTTTATTCAGGTATTTTTCTAGCTAGAGAATAAATAAATTGCTATTTAGGACTATTTGGACAAACTCAACCACAACAACCACAAGCGGGAGGGCTTTTCGGAACACAAGCACAGCCAACTATTGCTGGTTGGTTGGGTTAACAGTACGTATTTATGCTAAAGTTTAGCTGTGATGCCATCACAAGTGCCCGTTGCTGCAGCGGCACCAATGGTGCTCGGATCGGACGTGAATCAACAATCAAATCGAACGCGCATTGCTGGAGGCCCAACTGGCAGCCACTTTCTATGGTGATGGACCGTTGTTGAAATGGATGGCTGCTGCGAAAGAGACAACCGATGATCAAACAAACTCAGCAATGTAAGTTTAGGAGGACCTTTTCTATAGGACAAAAGGAGAATAAGACAAAAAAAACCAAGCTTGGCTAGCATCTCTGGCTAGAGAGTTAGTTAACATTTACGCGCGCAAAGCAACTCGACATTTTTTATCTAGCGAATTTCGTTCTGAAGTCTAGATCAGAAAAAGAAGAAAAATTGACCATTGAGCTGTAAAATTGAACGCAAGGTTTCGGATTGTCATGTCATCATGTCATCACAATGATCAGAATATTTTCAATAGTGAAATTATTACTGTAGCTAGTTTCTGCCTGCTTTGGTAGATCGAGAAAGGTGAGGGAATATTGAATCGATCAATTCAATGCGTTCTTTGGAGTTTACTGTAATTTCACTATGCAGTGCCAGTTTTATCTCGGTACTAAAGCTGTATTTTTAGTGAATTTGATGAGTGTATTTGCTTGAACACAATCATGGTTCAAAGACAATTTTACTTTTCTTTCTGTAACATTCATATTGTTTCATACTTCGCAAACTTTTTTCATAGACACTTTTGAAATTTCTCCTTTATTTTTTTATTGATAAATTTCAAATTAAAAACACAAAATTTTTCTCAAAATAGACTTGAGAGCTCTTCGGGTCGTGCTTTTCAGACTCCCATGAGCTCCGATTACTTGGTATTATGACTAAAACAACATCTCCTTTAGGAATCTGGCCGCAAGAGGCTTTCAAGAAGTGCAACCTCTCAGTTGACAAGGAAAAACTGGGAAATCTGATAAAGAGAAAAATGAATGCTTTTTCAGCAATCGGTCGTCTGCGTCTCTTCAATCAGCGTCTCCTCTCTCGTTTTCTCCAATTATCACCCCACTTTCCCTTCCCATGTGCTTCTCTTCTTGTCTGCGTCTCTTCAACCAGAAAGGTCCGGGTCCAAGAGCGATTATTAGTTAGTCTATCACGCGGTTTTCCACGATCCTAAATCTTTGATTGCAATTATTTTCACGCATTTTGCCGATGCCGATGCAGAAATTAATCTGCTTAGCGATAATTTCCTTTTGGATATAAATACGAGTCGATCAGCTCACTTTTCTCATATCAATTTTTCAAACCTTTCTCTTCTCTAAAGATTTATTTTTTTATTGCTTTTTGCTTCAAAATCTACCTTTCTAATCAATTTTTTAAAATTCCAAGCGATTTTTCTTTGAAAGCAAAATAATTTCTTTAAAAACTGTTTTTTGCTAAACAAATAAACTTTCTTTAAAATCAAGCAAAATCTAACATTTCTTTTCTAAAAGCTTTTTAAACAGCAATTTTTATGAATCAAAACGCCTACATACACTTTACAAACGTTCCTTTCGCTTCAAAAAAAAATTTTTTTAGTAAGAAATTCGACAAAAAATGATTCATCACCGAAAAGATCTTTCGAAATTTTGATAAAATTGTGCAATTTCCTCTTCGAAACCTTTTTAAGGGTCTTTCTAGTGTTTTAATCCGTCTTTCAATTTTCCAATCCAATCAAATCAAATCCAATGAAATTCCCGATTTTTCTCATTCTTTATTTGTTCAAAGATTTTTTATTTCAGGGTCGATTAATATTATAGTTCTTTCTAAGAACTATCAAAATGCGAAGTTCAATTCCCTGTTCAACCTTTCCCTTCGAGTTGCGAAATAAAATAGTGGACAAGTTACCCCCTCAGGAGAGTCTCAAACTCTTAAAAACCAATGGTTCTCTTCGCAAGCTCGTCCTACATAACGGCCCATTTGGGACATGGGTTGATTCCATGGATTTTGAAGAATGGAACCTCGATGATGCCCCTGATGATGCTCCCAGTGATGATGGGCTCAGTGATGATGATACCCCTGATGTTGAGCTCAGTGATGACCGCCACCCAATAATTTTTCATGTTACTATCGAGAAAAACGGATATCAATACCAATTTGACATCTTACAACGTTCCTATATTCCTACCTCAATTATACAAAAGATCAAAGCGTGCAGATTTTTGAAGTTGAACCGTGAAACCCGAGCAATCGACCAACCTTTTGCTCTTGAATATTTGTTGGAATCTTGCCACAGAGTTTTACCCCTGGAAAACCTTGTTTTTGTAAAGTTCCTTACAATCAATCAGTTATCCCCGACATTTTTGAATGCGATCATGCCAAGTTTTCGCTTTAAAGTGGCGAAGCGTGCGATGATCGATGCTTTTCCACCTTTTAACACGGAAAATACTAACAATCTCGTGCATTTCATCACAAATAACCTGAGATTTTGCTTGGAGATTTGGATTGAAGAGTTATTCGATGATTTGTTAAACGCTTTGAAGAGAACACGGGTAGAGAGAATAATCCTCTACCTTGGTTTCGAAGAAACCCACGGTGATAACGAACGACATACCCGAGTTTTAAGCAATTTCCTGACCTGGATCGAGAGAAACGGATTGCCAAGTGTAAACCAGGATTGTTCACTTATCATCAAGATTCCAGTGATGAATCCAGCAATAATCGATCCGTTTTCAGACCATCCTCTATTGAAATATGAGCCATCTTCCAAGTCTATCACAAAAATGTTTTTGGAAATGAGGGAAGCGGAGAGGAAAGCCTTTACAGCCTTTCCAGCCTCTCCAATCGGGCGATTCGATTTGCTACGGTGCCTCCAGAAGCGGGATTGCAAAAATAATTTGAGATTCTTGATGATGAGAAGAAAAAATCAATCTATCCGCCACGAGCCGGGCGGCTCGAGCGTGATGTTTTTCTTTGTTAAACGCTTGAAGTAAGGTTTAAATTTATTCAATTTTAAAAGCAGTTACAATTACCTTGATTTAGCTTTGATCTTATTCTATTCACTAAAATCAATTAGTTTCAGAAGCGTCGACCCGACACGTCGACTCGAGGAGAATTGCAAAGATGTGGTGTCATTGGATGATTCCCCCGCGGCTCCTAGACAGGTACGATTTGAGTTGAGACTACCTGGTATTATAGCTATGGAACTGAAACAAATCATTTCTTTAGAAATCTGTCCGCCCCGCCGCTTCGACTTCCAAGAAGCGCAACGCCGCCGACAAGGACGCAGAAAAGGAAGAAGTGATGCCAAAAAAGAAGAGGCGTGATACCGACTCCGATTCGGATTAAAATAGAGATTCCTTGAAACCTTTTTACGATTGTCATTCATTGCTTGTACAAGATTCCTTGATTTGCCATCCTAATCATGCCATGCTTTCTTAGTTTCTATGTGTCTAAGGCTTTGACATCTGGTTCTTAACAACCTCCAACAATCTTCTAAGACATCATTGCTCTTACAATTTCACCGCTTGTTTTAGCGTTATTCAGGCAAGATGGAATAAAGGCTTCTATTTTAAAATTCTTGCATTTCTTAAACATTCGCTCAATTAGTCAATTAAACATCAATTCGTTTCAGAAGCTCAAAATCATGAACTTTAGAGTTCATGGCTTTCCAAAAAACCAACGAAAACCTCTCAGCCACTCGTCGTTTTCGTTAATCCCATAACCGGCGGGAATAAGGAATCAAAGGTTCGATTTCAGCCTACAGTACATTGCAATACCCTGGGCAAACTGTTGATAGCTTAAATTCTTTCAGGCTAGAGGTGTATCGAAAGGTGGCCACCCAGCTGCTTTCTTGTGGCGGAGTTTGGTTGGTGAATCGATTCGAGATCTTCATTTCATTTAGTCTTTCAATTGAAACTTCGGGTTTTATTAGTCTAAACTTTTAGAAAAATTCATTCAAGGCGATCTTGGGAAGAAATCGCCCAGTGCTGCATAGTTTTGCTCAGCGGTGAAGTCATCTTTGTGAGCGGTGTCGTTTGTTAGCTGAAAAGTCATTTAGTAAGCTAAATAGTAGCATACATCTTTTATTTTCTTCCAATTTACAATCTACAATCTATAATCTACAATCTACAATCTACAATCTACAATCTACAATCTATAATCTACAATCTATATCTACAATCTACAATCTACAATCTACAATCTACAATCTATAATCTACAATCTATAGTCTACAATAGAGTGTTTTCCTTTGTATTCAACATCCGAATCAACCTGCGTATTGTAGGAGAAACCGACGCCAATCGGTTCCTCAAGAAAAAGCACGTTCGCAAACTGAAATGCTGAAATGACCGAAAAACTTTCTCTAGAATTGTTTAGAATGTTTAGATTCAGTTTTAAGCATACAAGTTTCGCATATAAAACCTTTTCCCAAGCGTAAACATTCTCATAAAGCGACTCTCCATCACGATTCACGTAAAATGGACCCAACAAAAGCTCCGGCAAAAGACGAACAACCAGGCCCTGAAATCATATAATTTATGTGAAAATGTAAACGAACAGCTTCTTTAGCTCGATTAGTTACCCAACTCTTTATAGTAAAGCCTCAAAGCAAAACCCCCGGATGCTTTTTTAGCAACAATAAACAAACAACAACAAGAACAATTGTGTAAAGATGTAAACACAAAGCTTCTAATGCACGCAGTTATTATTTCATTTCATTTGATTCATTTACCCAATTTTTCTTATTTAAATACTCTTATTAAATACTCTTAAAACCCAAGTATTAAAGGGAAAAATTGAGCGTACTTTATACTTACCGTAAATACTGTAATACTGTAATACTGTAATACTGTAATAGTACCCTACCCCCATGATAACGGTGCGGAGTGTTGCGTAGTCGAGCTTTGAACGAGTTTTTCTCGACACTGGTTTATGCTACAATGGTTTATGCTTAGGTATCAAAAAACAGCTGAGATTCAGGGCTATTTTTTGATACTGAAGACGCATTTGTTGGAAAGTAGGGGGTGCTTTGAAAAAATGGAATACTAAAAATCTTTGGTAACTTTTGCGACTACGCGACTGTACGAGCCGGGTTGGGGTCACTATTCGGTCGGGGGAGAATGAGTCGGCGCCGAAAATCAAAGAAATTTCTAAAACTTATAGTAGACTTTGTCAAATGATACGCGTTTGATATCCGTAGAAGGGTAACTAATTTTCTACAAAATAATATTTAAAAGAGAACTCAAACAGCGCCTCAACTCAACAAAGAATCATTTTTTCACAAAATCGATAAACTGTCATCTAGACTAAACGGTTGGAGGGATCTTTCTGGAAATTTGGTAACTTTTGTAATTGAGTGTGCTCTATTTTTTTATATAAAAACCAAAGGAGGTTTATGTGGAAGAAACTGTTCAAATGATGAGTCGGACTCTTTGCCATTTTAACCAGCTGCGTTTCGAAGTTCATCAACGTCACGAAAGAAAGCTTCTAAAATGTCGTCGTCGCTAATGTGATAACTAAAGTAGAGATAATGAAGTGTCAAAGATCCCGTACCTTGTTCCTGTTCTTAAACTTTCAATAGCATAGCATCATTGAATTAGCTAGAAGGTAAATTTCAACTGAACAACTGAATTAATAGCTGAACAGCTGAACAGCTGAACAACTGAATTAACAGCTGAACAATTGAATTAACAGCTGAACAGTTTCAGTTCAAAGTTAGGGATTCAGAATTGCTCAGAAACTCTGTAAACGTTTACTTTCTGATGCAGTTGTTTTCTTGTTTTCTTGAATCAATGCGGAAATGGTGAGGTTTTTCTCTGAAGTCACACTGAAGAACGAACAACTTTGAAAGATTGATATTGAATTTTTGTTAAATCAGAGTGAAATGAATGAAGAGAGTGAAATGAATAGCGTCAAATGAACGTTAGCTGGGTCTTTCAGAATGCTCAGTTAGTTCAGTGAATAATATTATAATATTATAAATAATATTATAATTCGATCCACCCACCAGCCGATTCAATTCGAGCACCAAGTGCACTTTAGATCGAATTTCAGATAACGAATGACTACTCTTGCCGGGTGGCCGGTTGGGGTGCGAACGATGATCGATGGCCGACAGCGATCCCCAATGTGTCTGCAAGAACCCCAAACAGAACTCAATCTTTCAAAGTTGTTCGTTCTTCAGTGTGACTTCAGAGAAAAACCTCACCATTTCCGCATTGTTTCAAGAAAACAAGAAAACAACTGCATCAGAAAGTAAACGTTTACAGAGTTTCTGAGCAATTCTGAATCCCTAACTTTGAACTGACACTCACCCGACGAAAATTCAAAAGAAGATATTTTCTGAGCCTGAAGCGCATTGTAGCCTGAAAATTAACAAAATTATAAATTTAATAAAAAAAGCACAACAAAAACGTTGACAAAAAATATGCACAGCAAATGAGGGTGCGTTTAAGAATTTGAACTGAAAGCGACTGAGCCATCCAAGTACCACCAGCTCAAAATTTATTCAGACTAGCGTCATTGACCATTTGCATTGAATCAATCCATGTCCCTTAAGTAAGATCTTGCCTTTTGCATCTTGTAAAAAGTTTACGTTTTAGCATGCACTAAGCTGAGTGTACGGGGCCATATTCTAAATGATCCAATACTAATGGCTTAAAATCTCCCTGAGGATTGATCACCTTCTGAAATTTTTATGAAAATAAAATCTAAAGTCATGGTTTTGAGTCAAACTACCATGACTTTCAACTAATTGATTGAAACTAATTGATTCTGGGAGCGATCAAATGTTTTAAGAGTGTTAAAACAGAAGCCTTTATTTCATCTTGCCTAAATGATGCTAAAACAAGGGATGCAATCATAAGAGTAATGGTATCTTAGAAGATTGTTGGAGGTGGCTAAGAACCAGATGTCAAAGCCAGATGTTGTGAGAAACAAAGAAAGGGGTTAGGCATTTGAATTGCAAATTAAAAAATCTTGTGTAACATCACGGGGTACGATCATAAAGCGCTTTCAAGGAATCTTTATTTTTATTTTCAATCGAGTCGGTGGGACGTCTCTTCTTTTTTGGCATCACTTCTTCCTTTTCTCCGTCCCAGTCGGCGGCGTTGCACTTCTTGCGGCCAAATGTCTAAAACAGATGTTGTTTTAGTTCTCAACCTTAACTCGAACATTACCTGTCTAGAAGCCACGGGGGAATCATCCAGTGACACCACCGCCGCCGCATCTTCGCATTTCTCCTGGAGCGGATGGTCGGCGCTTCTGAAACTAATTGATTTTAGTGAAAGGGATAAAATTGCTAAATCAAAAATTGCTAAATCAAGCTATCTATAACTGCTTTTAGAAATTGAATAAATTAAAAACTTACTTCAAGCGTTTGACAAAGAAATACATCACGGCGGCAGATCCCGGCTCGAGAGGTTCATCGGTTTCTCTCATCATCAAGAATCTCAAATTATCCTTGCAATGACGCTTCTGGAGGCACTGTAAAAAATCGACCTGTTCGACTGGAAACGTTTGAACAGGATCGCTTCTCTTGGCTTTACTCATTTCCAAAACCATTTTTGCGCGAGTCTTGAAAGATGGCGCATATTTCAATAGAGGATGGCGCGAAAACGGATCAATTATTGCTAGATCGCTATTGAATATGATAGCGAGGCTCAGCGAGCAATCCTGGTCTTGACTTGGCAGCCCGTTCCTTACGGTCCAGGTCGTGAAATTGTTTAAAAGCAGGACATCCTTATCATCGAAATCAAGGGAAATGAATATTCTCTCTACCCGTGTCTTCTTCAAAGCGTCAAGCAAATTATCAAATAAAGCATTAATCGAAATCTCACGGCAAAATCTGAGGTTGTTTTCGATGAAATGCACGATATTTTCCGTATTTTTCGTGTCAAGCGTGTCAAACGATGTCAAGATCGTCGCACGTTTCGCTACTGTAAAGTGAAATCGTGGCGTAATCGCGTTCAAAAATGTCGGCGATATCAGTTCTATTTTAAGAACCTTCACAAAAACAAGCTTTTCCAGCAAACTTTTGTGTGTTTCCAAGAAACAACCAAGAGTAGCTTCATCGAGCTCTGTGAAACTCTTAGAAACCAAACTTTCACGTCGCCACTCAAAAACTTTGCACGCTTTAATCTTTTGCCAAATTGAGGTAATATAGAGGTCAAATTGGAGGTCAAAATGGTATGCATATCCATTTTTCGCAATAGTAGCAATGAATGATGGGCGGTCATCACTCATCACGGAATTATTATCAATGAGCTCAATCTCACGGAAATCGTCACTGGGAGCATCATCAGGGGCCTCATCAAAAACCAGTTCTTCAAAACACATGGAATCAACCCATGTCCCAAATGGGCCCTTATCTAGGACTAAGTTGCGAAGAGAACGATTGGCTTTTAGGAGTTTGAAACTCTCCTGAGGGGGCAACTTGTCCACTATTTTATTTCGCAACTCGATGGGAAAGGTAGAACAGGGAATTGAACTTCGCATTTTGATAGTTCTTAGAAATACGGAATTGAATCGATGCTGGATTTAGAATCGGAAAACCGTGTGATAAACTGATAAATAGCTCTTGACCCTTACCTCTTGCATCTCTGGTTGAAGAGACGCAGACAAGAAGAGAAGCAGAAAAGATTAGAAATATTGGTGGGGCGGGGCGTGCATGTAAAGAGGGCCCCTGCCGAGCCACGAGCGAAATCGATTGCAGAAAGACCTTTGAAAAGAGGTGGTTAGCCTATCAAGGAGAAAGTGGGGTGATAATTGAAGAAGATGAGAGAGGAGACGCTGGTTGAAGAGACGCAGACGACCGATGGCTGAAAAGATTAAAAATATCGGTGAGAGGCGGCGACCGAGGTTTCACTCCACACCCAAAATTAGAGCCAAAGGCGTCTGTGTCGAGCTCTTAGAAAGAGGCGAAGGAGGAAAAGGCCTTTTGAACGAAGTGGGCGGCCTATCGACAATCATTGACAAAACAAAAACTTTTTTGCAAAATGCAGATCGGTAGGGAAAATGCACATAATTTAGAATATCCAGCGTTTCCAAGATGTTTGGATCGACTTTTTGGGGATAACTTTACCATAATACATACTACTTTTTAGGATTGGTAAAATTCATCAATCTTTGTGCCTTGGATGTGTGAAATGACTTGAAACTTTGAATGGGTTGTTTTTTACGTTAAAGCAACTAAAAAATACTTTTGTCATTCATTCACTGGCTCTTCTTCTCTTAGCCGAATGTATCTCTCAGAGAAATGGCTTGTTTCCTCACGGATTGCCGGACTCCATCACCCTCCATCAAAGGCTTGTTTCCTCGATCATTTTTTTCATTTTCTTGAAACCTTTAAACCTTTAGACCTTAAAAAGTTTAAAACCTTTAAAACCTTTAAACCTTTAAACATTAAAACTTTTAAACCTTTAAAACTTTAGACCTTTAAACCTTTTAAACCTTTAAAACTGAAACCTTTTAAACCTTTTAAACCTTTAAACCTTTAAACCTTTAAAACTTTAAACCTTTAAAACCTTTAAACCTTTAAAACTTTAAAACCTTTAAATCTTTAAACGTTTAAACCTTTGAAACCTTTAAAACATTAAACCTTCAAAATCTTTTAAGCTTTAAACCTTTAAACCTTAAAACCTTTAAAACCTTTGAACCTTTAAACCTTTAAACTTTAAAAGCGTTGATTATTTTATTAAACTTAACTATTTTATTAAATATGAAAAGCTAAAGAATGAAAGTTTGGATCTTTATTTTACAGCCGATTTATTCGACTTTAATTTTTTACGCGTCTAGTAACGCTGAGGGGTTCATCCCGTAAACAGCTATAAACAGCTATTACGCATTTTTGGAAGCACAAAAGCTTCAATTTTGAATAGAAAGGCTAAGCCAATGCAGCTCGAAATCAATTCATTCATTGCACTCACCCAGCCACCGTTTGAAGTTGAACGAAAGAGTTTATCATCAAATTTGTTCAGGTAAAAGATTACAAAGAATGTTTGGGTGAAGTTAGAAAGTGAAAAGAAGCTTTTTTCTCCAAAAAACTGATCACCATTGGTGAGTAAAAAGAAAGGAAATCGTTGGAAACAGATTGCTTTTGGCGCTTTGAGAACGTGAGAAAATGCTCTCGAAAGCTCGATTCAGCTACTCAACTTGGCTTAATGGTTCAGTTACTCTAATCTTCTTTATGAGAAAATCGATTAAGCTTTAGCTTGGCTTTAAGCATCGATCTCTTGGATAGCTATTGCTGAATAGCTATGGCTGAATAGTTAGCTTTCTCATAATGAAAAATCTGACAAACTTTTCTTGTGCACTTTGTGTTCAATTTCTGTAAACGCACCCCTTCTAACCCATTGAAAACCTTCATTTTCCTCAAATTAACATTTTGGTTCTTAAGAAAAGTAAGAATTCAGTACGCTAGAGGTATCGAAGAGGTTTAGAGGTTTACAAAATTAAGCTCAAAAAAATTAAATTTGGGTAATTAAGCCGAATTTTCCATTTTGTTTTGTGTGCCCGTGCCAAAACGATTGGCTCAAAAAGGCCTCTTAGGTTTACCATTCCCCATTCATCCAATAAATGGGGAATTGTAAACCTAGAAGTGAAGCGAACTTTGAAATGAACCAAAATGATATTTTGAGAAAAGAGAAATTCTCAAGCAAACCCAATTTTCACCCAAAATTATAAAACAAACCAATTATAGCACATGGCTTCTAAATAAGAAATCATAGTTGGGAGTTCGACGGGTGAACCGGCTCAAAAACTTTGCTTAATAATTCACCAGCGCAAGCTACCGCAGCAGTACTTAACAATGCTGAATGCCAAAAGCATAAGCATATATTCAAAAGCATATAACACTGATCCGCAGGATGTAATGGCAGGCCGACGATGTACGGTCTCGCTTTCGGCAGAAGCAAGCTTTTACGAACCTTTCCAAAAATTGATTTTGATTACCTTGGTCTCTCTAGTAGTAGTGCGCACTAATATTTTTTATTTTCCTTGACCGCAATACTATTAGAAAGTTTTATCAATTACAAAAGTAAGACAGATTCAAATACAGTTGTGTGCCGGCAAGTTGACAGTTTGTCTTGACATGAATAAATTTAGCCATCCCGAAAATTCTTCGTCATCTTTCCAAAAAATTATATAATATTAAAACATGATAGATTATTTTCTAGATTCAGTTTTGATAACAATAAAGCTTAGCGCTGCAAAAAATAAGTCAAAAGGTAAGACCGATATAAGGTTTGGTTCCAAAAATTCTTTCAAAAAAACAACTTTCCAAAAATTTATTGACTTCTGATGACAAAAAGTTAACTAGACAAAAATATCTACAACAGAATCATCATTTGAATCATCATCCTCATCTAGTTCAATATCTGTGAGTTGATCCTTTACACCGTTGATCGATTGTTCGAGACGAGCATTGGCGAGAAGTGTTGCGCCTTCAGGAGTCAGTCCTTCTTTTTTTGAAGCAATGAATGATATTACTTCAGAGTGAATCAACTCAAAATCATAAGATTTGGTGATTCACCAAATCTTTTTTGAGTTGATTCAACTCAACAAAAATCTGGTGAATTTGATCTGTTGCCGATTTTGAGTTTTTAAATACAACCTAGAACCGGGTTTTATAGTTTTTATCAGCTCCCTTTTTTGACGATTGTAACTTTCATTTTCCTCTAAATCGACCAGAAAGTGAACAGTTCGCATAGCTGCCCACTTTTCTCTCTAGTTCTTGTTCTCAATATTCTTTCTCTAGTTCTTATTTTCAATGTTTACGTTTGCACAGCTGCCATCGTTCTTAAATGACTTTAAATAACAACGTTCATACACCTTTCACTTTAAAATCCGGCCAAAAGTCTCTGATAGTCTCTGACAACATTGTGCTTGTTGTGTAGTGAGTTCGGGGTTTATCATTTTGTATCCAATAGCTATGGTAGCTTTTCGCGACGTAGACAAATTGTTATAAGTACAATAACTTCATAGGAGTACTGTAACTTCTGATGGGTACGGTAGCTTCTGAAGTCGACGGCAACCTTGGGATAGTATACGGCAACCTTGGGCAAGGGCAACCTTCCCTTTGTTAAACGCCCGCCATTAGTATTAGTTGACATATTAGTTGTCATATTTCCTACTGTCAACTATGTTAACTAATATGACAACCTTGTTCTTGTTTCTCTAGTTTTTGTCCTCAATCTTCTTTCTCTAGTTCATTTTCCACTTCCAGAAAGTTTCCGCATTTTCCGCAAAAAGATCGCAAAAAGTCATATGCGTAACTAGTAACTAGTAGATTCTGAAGTCACACAAAAGCAAACGAAAGAGAAAGGAGAGCAAGAGATGTAAGTTTCCATTCCTACTATTTTAAAGTTTTTGAAACTCTGAAATTCATCGTTTTAAATTAGGGTAATAGATGAAATGGATCTTTCGCTTCACTTTTTCCGGAACATCGCAAGAGCTGCTCTTACATTACTACTTACTTTTGGGTAAGACTAACAAGATCAAGACAAAGCTTCAAAAGTCCAAGTTGACAATTCAGCTTAAACTATTACCAATGATACACAAACTAACACAAACGCTTCAATCATTCAATCATTGCATAGCTGTATAGTGTCAAGCGTATAACTTGTCTTTTAGAAATTCGATGTTGTTCCAACTTAGCTTTTATTTTTATTTGAGGTAAGTCCAACAATAGATAATGTATCACTTGTCTTTTAGAAATTCGATGTCTTTTAGAAATTCGTTGGTCCAACTTTTCCGAGCCTCAAAGAAGCGCAAGAAGTGGCTTGGGTTCAATCAGAGGCTGCGAAATAAAGAGGCCAAACTTCGTAGCAATACGCGTGTTATTTACAATCAATAGTAAATGCCGATTGCACCACACTTGGGTGCACCAAAGGAGTGGGATGATGGGTACTTTATGCCAAAAACTAAATGACTAGGTGCAAAGGTGTTGATCGAGAAATTTTCTCAGAAATGTTAAAGGGCACGTTTGGTGACCAACCTTTCCAACCTTCAATTATCAATACAAATTGTCGCGAACCATCACAAAAGATCAGCGACAAATTGTTATAAGTACAATAACTTCATAGGAGTACTGTAACTTCTGATGGGTACATAACTAACTATGTTAACTAATATGACAACCTTGTTCTTGTTTCTCTAGTTTTTGTCCTCAATCTTCTTTCTCTAGTTCATTTTCCACTTCTAAATCCCGCCAAGAGTCTGTGATTTGCGGGCTTTTCTTTTCCCTGATGTGCAGGGGCGTCGCGTGCTTTTCTCTCAATCGATCTTGTCTTTTTCCGACCAGAAAATTTCCGCATTTTCGTATCATCATTTTGAAATCTTTCTGGCTTCTAACTTAGATTGAGGAATAGAAGCAAAACAGTTTAAAGAAAATGCATTTATGATTTTGCTCCAGTTTGATCAGTATGGTAAATTATGCCAGATTAACTGCATTCTACATTTTGCACACTTTGGGATTACTCATAACGAATTGGTGCCGCTTTTTCAACCGTTTCTCCTTTTTGGCACTTTCCTCCCAGATTGCTTCTAAATAAAATCAGCTCAAAACACAAGTAGGGGTTTTTTTGAGGAACGGGGGGACT